CGCCTCCTGGGTCTTCCCTGGTGTCTTCAGCAGCTGCTCACTCCCAGAGCACCTCCAGAAAGAGACAGTTTGGAGGCATCCTCAGACCGCCTTAGGGCCTATGAAGTTATAAGCTTTTGGCCAAATAAAAACATTTCATGGAGAAAAAAAGAACTTTCCAATATCCGTTTAATTAGTTTTGAAAAATAAAAGATGTTGGCCACGATATCGTCTGAATCTGAGGTTGGACAGTCATTTGGAGTCCAGCACTTTGGCGTAGGCTTTCTCAAGAACTGTTACATTTTAATGCAACATCCAGTCCCCTAATAAATTCTGGAGGTGTGAATCCAACTTTAATGTGTTATAAGATATATTTATTTTCTTCAGGCTAACTGACTAACTTTTTCTTCTCTTTTTGTGTCGTCTCACCACCCCTTTCCTGCAGAAGCCTAAAGCCGCTTCGATGGATTCAACCACCAAACTGACGCGTTCTCTGCCATGTCAGGTGCACGTTAACCAAGGGGAAAATCTGTGAGTAGCCAATCAAACATTTAGGACTATATCTCTAGTAAAGGGTGGTTTGTTTTGTGCACAGAGTTAACAGATGCCATTCTGTCTCTTAACAGAAACACAGAGCAGTGGCCACAGAAACTCATCATGCAGCTGATTCCACAACAACTCCTGGTGAGAACACCTTTTAACCTTTGTTTAGTACATATAACTTCAGTTTTGTTTATGAATGTTGCATTACTAATTACTCTCTTTCTGTAGACAACCTTAGGTCACTTGTTCAGAAACTCTCGAATGGTTCAGTTTCTCTTCACCAACAAAGACATGGAGTCGTTGAAAGGCCTGTACCGCATTATGGCCAACGGCTTTGTAAGTTGTCCAAAACTAAATTAGTTGAGAGTACTTGTTCTCTCCCTGTCCCAAATCGTATCCATCATTCAGTATTCCTCAATACATTTTCCATGAGTGGGAACTGAGTGCAGCTCCCACCTCTGTCCTGCAGTTGCTCTGAACATGATGCAGTGCTATGTGCAGGACTCTAGAGGGGGACCCAGGCCATACATCATTCACTTTTGCGCCAGATGTTATGATTTTAAACATACTCAGCCATCAGATCAGACACACATATTTATTGTTCAGTTTTGAATTTCTTCCAGAAGGCTAGCACAATGATTTTGTTCAGTGTGGTGCATTGTAACCCAGTTAGTACCATTGACAAATAGAAGAGGCATTAATAGTATTCAGCTGAGCTCTGCCTTGTTGCCTGATCCTAATGAAGGATTGAAATCTTTTGCATTTAAATCATGAAACCGATATGTTTGATTGGGTAAAGTAGCTCAATAATAGGCTATGTCCCCAAACCTTAGCCTATCGATAATTATCACTGTTTTCCAAATTCAAAAAGATCAAAGGTTTTATTGTCATATGCACAAAGCTACGGTGTAGAAATGGAAATTACATTCTTCTGACCTGAGCTCCTCCAACAATGCAACATATATAGTAAAATATAAAAAGTAGTGCAAAAAGTCTATATACAAAGTAGTCAAGTGTCAAGGTTTTAATCTGTCCTACCACCCTCCCTACAGGCGGGGTGCGTTCACTTCCCCCACACCACTTCTCCCTGTGAAGTGAGGGTGCTGATGCTGCTCTACTCGTCCAAAAAGAGAATATTCATGGGCCTCATTCCCAACGACCAGAGCGGCTTCGTCAATGGCATCCGGCAAGTCATCACCAACCACAAGCAGGTCCAGCAGCACAGAGCGGTGAGTAGTGATACGAGCAGAAAGAGAGGAAGCTTTCAGTGTGGAGTGGGGAGACCAAAAGGAGGTGATAATGAGAAGGCATTATAGAGCAGCTCCAGGGAATTGAGGTGCATTGTTTACAGCATTAAGGTGCATTGTTATTGACATTTCATTTAGCTTGCCCAGTATCTTTCACAGCAGCCACTCACGTCTCTCACTCTGGTGGAGGCTAATGGGGCTAGCATTAGCCAAATTCCTACTGCAACATTAGATGACCGTTTCACTCCCATCTCATTATCACTCCAAGGGAAATATAGGTGCAATTCATCTGCAGTCTTTATGTTGAATTGATTGCATTCCTAACTAAATTGTCTCTGTAACACTGTATATGGTGTACTGTGTTATGTTATTGCTTTTTGTAAATATACTGTGTTAACATGCATAGATCTTCACAACATTTAAGCTCTTGTTGATACATAGGGCAGTGTCTTTAGTGGTTATACCATGGATGTAAAAAGATAACTGGATTCAGCTTCCGGTCAGTCCAAAAGTACATTAATGTTAACGTGTGGGTTAAAACATTCCTAAAAACTGAATCTGCACTGTAGTTTCACTGTCATCTTTTGATCATGTTTAAGGTTGTAAGATTTGGTTTAAAGGTCCCATGACCTGGCAATTTCTCCTGATCAAAATTCCATTGTTGAGGTCTACTAGAATAGATTTACATTGTTCAATGTTCCAAAATCACATTGGTTTCTCATACAGCATCTCTGTATAGTATGTGTATTCACTCTCTGTCCTACACGTCTTGTTGGAGCTCCTGCCCCCCCTCCCTATGAGCCCACTGTGCTCTGATTGGTCAGCTCGCCCACTCTGTTCTGATTAGTCAACCACCGTTACAGCGGAACATCAGTGTTTATGTTTTACAATGGCGTTTGTTAGCAACCAGAAAATGACACCAGTAATGACAAACAGATGAGAATGCTGCGTGGGGTCTGGGTGCCGTGTTGGCGGGACGTTGCGGGACTCGCTGCTCCGCAAAAAATCGCAGGCTTTGCGATTTCATAATCGCATCATTTCAAATCGCGATTTCGATTTAAAATCGATTATTCTTTCAGCACTAGTCTGCGAGAGACCGCGGAGCTCAGCCTGAGCACACACACACTCACAGCCTGAGCTCCGCTGAGAAAAGATAAGGCTGAGTGAGTGTGTGTGTGTGCGGAGCTCCGCGGATTGGTCCATTTGGTCTAGAGTGACATCAACCTTTCCCGGAAGAAAAAAATGGAAAAATAAAAATCTCCAATGAGGCGTTCTGGGGCAGCATAGACAGGTCTTTTCTGTGTTAGAGTTTTACTTGCTACAGGGTGTACTTTGAGGGTTTTTGACTCTGCAAACCATTTACATGCAGAAAAAGCTACATAACACACAAGGGGACGGGTAATAACCAGAAAAGCATATGATGGGACCTTTAAAACTAAGCTCAACTCGGACAGATATTATCATTTTTTTGTTTAGGGTGTTGAGATCTTAACATTTCATGAGACTCACTGTAGGAGAAGGAATCGAGAGGCAGAAGTGTCTGCCAATCTTTCAGGGCAGGAAAATCTAGAGGAAGGGTCCCTCTTTTCAACCTCCCTCTAAAGGTAGACCAATTCTCGTCACTGAGTTCATTACAGGTTACAAATGCTGCTGCCTTGTCCACATTACATAGAAATGTCACTTTCCCTCTCTGCTCATCCTCATCCCTGCAGACAGGGTGATTTAAAATGTGTCTTTTGGATTAGCGGGCTTTTCCATCACAGGGCTCCACTCCAACTTATTGCATCCGTTGAGGAGGGATGCTGCATCGCTCTGAAACAATGCAGCATCCAGTCGCAGGGACTCAGCATGTCTCCATTTCAAAATGAATCTTGTTATCTGGTTTACATGAGTTAAATTAAATTTCTCTTTGCAGCCTGCTCTCATCAGCAGTGATAGCGCTTGTTTACTCACCCTACTCATTTTATGTCTTTGCAAAAGCGCGTGAGCTCTATATGTAACTTGAAGCTGTGTGTGTGTGTGTGTGTGTGTGTGTATGTGTGTGTGTGTGTGTGTGAGAGAGAATCGGTGCATTTAGAGAAAAGCAGAAGACATGAAATTGAAATGAAGGTTTTTTTTCTTTCTGGCTGTTGAGTAACATATTCAGTGCTGCATTGCTAATAGGGAAGCGCTACAGCAATCTCAACGTAATTACAATTTCAATTTGGACCAGTAGTTAAGGTTTTTCTGTGCAAAGCCCTGGAGTTGCATTCTTTGGAAACCAGATTTTTGTTTGTTCTGTTTACACAAGAAAACATTTCATATTTCTCTGGAAAGGGATGCGAGCCCTAATCCGGGATTTGACAGGTTTGTGGGTTAAAGACAGAAGATAAATCCTAAACGGGAGAAAAAACCTGTTCCTGTCCTGTTCTGTACGTTCCCTCAAAAATACCTACATGTATGTGTTGCACTATCATTGGTTGAAAAACACACTGTACATTAGCACACTCAGGGTAAATCTGATTATGCAAGATGAAGATATCTCTCCAATACATTTCTGAGTCTGTAGTTAATCATTTGTGCTCATCTCTCTAGTCTCTCCCTCAGTGTGCTAACAAAAGCCACCGCAGCAACACAAACCCCGGAGCACTGAGTCGGTTTCAAATGTTGAGTATTTAAGTACTGTACTGAAATACAAATTCGAGGAACATTGACTTTAATAGAGTATTTTCTCTTTATGTTACCTTTTACTTTACCTTTTAAAAAGTATGGTACTTTTTTTCTCCTCTGCATTTATCTGACAGCTTTAGTATCTGTTCAGGTTACAGTAACCCATCCCCTTTAGGTACATTGGGTGTCAAATTGCTGTTTTAAGTACAGAAGTGTAATGAAATGTGCTCAGTGTATCTTCAGTTAAAGCTGTTATGTTTCTGAGTGATCAGAGCCTACCTTGCAGCTGTGTAGGCAGAAAATGGCGCTGTAACAGGTTGCTTCCTGTCTTTCTCTTCAGAGTTCACTCTGGCTGGATACTTTATCTTACATTATCCCCCTCCTGACTGTCCTAACCACTTTATTCATCAAGATTGAGTTTGTTTAAAATGAGAACTCCAAACACCTCAGCAGGTGGTGTTTAACGATTAGTATCCATGGTGCATCATCGTATCCAAACTATGTTTGTTTTTACTTCCATCTGCACACTCGTGAACAACATGAATATGTGTGTTGATTATGTTTGGTAACAGCCTTTGCATGGCATAACAATGTTGACGAAAAAAGACAGATCGTGATTGATTATGACAATACAAGAATATCCGGATATCAGACTTTATGACGTAAGTCTGTCCAACATATATATGTTTAGATCAGAGGGTTGATAAGAGGATTGTTGGTTATACACTTCATAAAGGACAGGTTAACATTATTTGCTAGTTGGTTTAAAAAAATAAATCCGGAAAAGCCATCATGAAAGAGTTATGTGTAAGTGATGTTGGACAAAATACACTGTTTTCTGCAAGACTTCACAACAACGTTTGTACTGAAAAGACTTTAACCTCAGAAGTTGCCCACTTAATTTGTCCAACTCAGGAAGCTCAAGCCTCATATTCGCTTCTGCTGAACAACAGAATTCAATTTTGCACAAAACAAGGATTTAGTCCCCCATCACTCACATTGAACTTGATTAAAGAAGGGATTTCTCTACGGCTAGTATGAGAACATTTGCAGCTAGCTGTAAAGTATTTCATGTATACGGCTTATGAGTATTTATGTATTGCTTATGAATGTGTGAAATGACCTTATTGCTCTCCCCTACTCAATAAGTTGTGTAGTCACATTAAGCTCTTAACATAAACAAGAGAAAAAACAATGCATTTGTTCTGGACAACTTTAAGATAAAATAAGATTAAAGGTGACTGGCTGTGAGAATGAAGGGCATGCAAACTGAGACGATAAATAAAGGTTATGAAATGTTTCTTATGCTTGCTGCTGTTTCACTTTCTTACAATGCATTTACATTTAATTTAGATATTGCTTTAATCCAGAGCGACCTACATACCTTTCTCTCCATTTCTATGCATCAGTTGGGCGGTGCAGGTCCGATGCAGCCTGGTCAGGTCGCCCCCAACCAGAACTTCCTCAACAGACCTCCTGGCCCAATTCCAGTCTCCCACGGCAACGTTCAGCAGCAGGTAAATGAACGCATTCTGTGCTGGCATGTCTGCCCAGGTTTCGCACTAGTTTTCTTTTCACGCTGCCTGTTGTTGAAACCTTTACTGCCCAGGTGCCCGCTGATTTCTGCATGCCTTACTGGTAACCCTTTCCTCTACTGTCCTCCTTTTTTATTCACACTTCCACCACCCCTTCCTCCGCTCTGATCTGTGCTGGGTCCAGTCTGTGGTGGTGGGCATGCCCCCTGTTAGTCAGGTCTCTATGATGGAGGAGCAGCAGAGGCAGAACAACATGGTGAGACCCCCAACATATAAACACCATGTTTTTTAGGGTTTCCATAGGCAATACATTGAAATGGTAAGGGTTTTAAAGTATTATATACTTCTTAGTTATAATTAATCTTCCGTCATTGAAGGTTAGCCTGTAACACATGTACCAGCACATTGCCCATTTCTCCATGTCCTTTATCTGTCCTTGTTTTTATTTGGCTGATAAAAGGTATATAAACATGACCAGTCAGTAGGCTGCTTTTCAAAATGTATTAAATGATATTAAACAGAATGTAGGTCTTGTGTGCATCCTGTTTCCTCATCAGAACCTGGTGTTGTACATACAAACAGAAATACTGTCCCTTTACTCCCAATACTCAGCATCTGGCGTGTGGACAGCATGTGTTGACTTTACCTGCTCCTGTCCAATTAATGCACGGCACTGGGAAGCACAGATTCTATTGATAACATGCATGCACATGTTTTTATATTTAAATGTATCATAACTCTTTGCAGTGTGCATGAGGTGAAGAGCACAAAACCAGCAGCCCATGATGGTTTATTCATATTCATAATACATGTGAGGAATACAACATTTTAAAATGCCCTTCAGATGGCCATGAGAGCAACCGGACCAACCAACCAACAGCCGTCAGTCGGAGGTGCTCCACCCAACCAGGTGGCACAAGGCGGACAGGCCCAAGCCCAGGGTCCCATCCTCCGCCTCTCAAACCCAGGAGCCAACCCGCAGCTCCGCAGCCTCCTCCTCAACCAACAGCAGCCAGTAAGAGTGGACAGCAGCCACAGGATGTCTCGTACTGTAACTTCTCTCCTGGAAGTCTTGCGTCTTTTGGAGGTTAATGTCACTTTTCTGTCTCTGTGTCCTTGCAGCAGGGTGGGGTGTCTCACATGCAAGGCATGATGTCTCACCAGGGCTTAGGGCAGCAGTTGGTCCATCCGACACCAGGAGGGGGGACTCAAATGCAGAGCCAGTGGAGGCAGCCCTTGCCAGGTCAGCAAGCACCCCCACAGAGGTGGAAAGAGTTCAGACATAAGGGACTCAAGTGAAAATCTAAGTTTAAAATATAGGCCTGAAAATGTATTCTTTAAAGGGTAATGAGGTTCAGAGCCAAACATTCTAAAATTGACCAAGTCTTGGTAGTTTAGTTTTTTGAGGTTCAAAACCACTTGATGCCATTTCAATACTTTTAGTATTCTCTTCAGAAATGATCATTTCTGAAAAAGTTTACGGAATCCCTAATTTAAACATCTGTTCCTCTTCCCCCCCTTCCAACCTGTGTGCAGGTCAGATGCTGATGTCTGGAGGTCAGAGAGGCGCGGCCCCCCAGCCCGGGATGCCCCTAGTCTCCAGTGCAATGGATGATGAAATCCTCATGGACCTTATCTGATTGAGCATTGTGGAGTCAGGAGCTGACATTTTTGTTGAAACTCTGCATCCAATTTTCCAATTTGGACACATGCATCCGCTCTGTTATTTGTGTTGCTACAAATGTTCAACAAAGTTAAGGGATCATGAATAGTTCTAAGTTTTTTCTTTTACAGGACTGAAAAGCTGAATTTAATTAGGGGCATATAATGAACGTTTTTCATGGAAATGGTCAAACCAACAGCATGCTAATCCTCCATGCTTCTCACTTAAAGATGCCAAACCATCTGAAACAGTAAATTATGTGATGCTTCTGGAAACTCTGCTTTTCTATACATGTTTTTTTTAGAATATTATCATTACAATATGAAAGTGTTATTTTTTTTTCTTTGAGATTTTACTTTTTCTTATTTTTGATAAAGTTGTCTCATGAGAATAAAATGATGAGGTATAGCTCTTTGAAGAAGTGGCATCATTGTGAAGAGTTCTTTCCTCTTGATGCACATTCCTGATGTTCAGCCAGTCCTGCCTCCTCCCCCCTGTGGGAATGCTGCTGGGACCCTTAAGGTAAGAGAGAGACTGAAATAGTCACAGTAATAGATGGTTCAGTATCTTTTTCTGCCAAATAGTGTCACAGTGTTAATTTTAACTACTCCAATATGTCATGGAACCATAGAGAGTCCCCTCGTGCCAAGTAGTCCTACCAGATGGCATCAGTTGGCCATGTTTCTCTTGGCATAACGTACAATCAGGCTGATCGCATGCGCACATGGCTCAGACTCCAAGATACCCACAGTCTGCCTTTTGAAAGGTGCTTTCACATTCACACACGATCCATGCTAGTTCAAATGAACAAACTCTATCCTTGTACCTGATGGTGACTGATGGGTGCTGCTGAAGAGACAGAACCGAGATGTCCGTGCACGAGGAGAGAAACAAGGGAACTTTGCTCAACCTCACACTAACGTTCATGACACATTTACTTATAGGTTTGTGGGTCTTTCTTTTTTTTTACTTGGACACTGTGTATTCACACACATGCACACACATTCACCAACAGGAAGTGATGTCAGTCCCTGTCACCTGGGAGACAGAGACGGTTGCTAAGATACCGTGACAGTGGGTTCTTGTTTCTGAGCTTTTTCCTCAACCCCGCTTTCACATGGACTCAAACAGATAGACACTAGTCCCTCAGTGGCTGGTGTTCATCCCTCCCATCCCTTAATCACTCGC